TCTTCAAGGGATCCAATATGCAATCTTTGAACTTCCGGGGAGGGGGGAGGGCTGAAGTCGTTGCCCCTCTCTTTTTGAACCATGGGCCCCCCAAGAGACCTCCCAGACCCCCCAGACAGCCCCCCAAAAGGGCACCAGAAAGGCCCCAAGAAAGCCTCAAGAGAGCCTCAAGAGTGCCCTAAGAGGCTCTGCGACGACCCCAAGAGAGCCCCAAGATGGCTCCAAGAGACCTCCGAGAGGGCGGCCCGTTTTCAAAATGTTGCTCAAGCCGTAGCGCCGCGCACATTCGTCTTAAAAGTTTGCAAGAGTTTCACACATGGAGGGCGGGCGGTTTTCAATAAGTGGCTCTCGCCTTACCACCGCACACAGTCGTCAAAAGAATGCAAGCATGTCACGGATGGAGGGCGGGTCGTTTTCAAAAAGCTGCTCTCGCCCTAGCGCCGCGCACTTTAAGACAATTCGAATATTTTCGGATGGAGGGTTCTCGAGCGCTTCGTCCAACACCCTCACGGGGTCTCTGGGGTCTCTTGAATAATTCATGTCCGCCCCAAGGGCGGTCCTGCTTTTAAACTTCTTGGCAGTAGCACGCTCCTCGGCAGTCGTCCGCCTAACAGGCACCACCGCTCCCAGGTGGTCCGTCCCTCGCAACTCGCCTATACTGCTGTCCAGAAACCCAATGACATCAGGGAGACAGGACGTCTCGCTGGCTGGCGTCCAGACATCTTCCCAAACTCCACGCATCGGGTCCTTGAGAGCCCCTGGGACAAGGGGGGGGAGTCCCAGCAGGAATCCTGGCAGGCTGCAGTCCGATATGGGGCTGTGCTGTATTCGTGGACAACTCCGCCCCCGTTCTTGACGGCCTCCTTGACACACTTCCTCCACCTGACCCCATTTTGGTGGACTCATGTTGATCCTCCAGCCTGGCCGCGACTTGACCAGCTTCGTCCTCAAACTCGTGCAGTGATCTTGCAGCGTGCACGCAAAAAGAACGTCGTCGAAGACGGGCCTCCAACTCAACCACTCCGCGTCTCTCCTACAGTAGGAGCTCGACCACAAGAAACCTTTCATTAGAAACCCAACCCTGAGACCCCAGGACGTCCATTGAATTTTGGTGTGGGCACGCCACGTTTTCCATAGCAAAACCATTGAAACCCAAGAAACCCAGGGCACCCTGGAGGCAAGCAGGGTGGTTCTTGGCATGGGCCTCCACTGTAAGGCTGCCCAAACTTTGCATAATACGAAAGACCAGTCTGCGCGGCTCGGAGTTCCACCACGACTCCTCGTGGCCTGTACGCGCAATGTGACCCAGCTCGTGGAGCCAAAGCTGAGTTTGCGCCAGCCCCGCGAGAGAGAGAGAGAGAGAGAGAAACAAAAAAAAGAGAAAGGACATCCGAGAGAGCGCGCACCTCTTGAGTTGCGCAGAGCTGGAACTCTCTGAAGCCTGCCTCCTCTTCCTCGTCCTCCTCCTCCTTTTCCTCCTCCTCCTCCCTTCCTTCCTCTCTGCCATCGCATCTCTGCGTGCTCTCCCTGGCCTCCCTTGGAATGACGGCAGGAAGAGGACAAACGAGCATGAAGCAAATCGGGAATCTCATGCGTCCCCATGGGAGTTGGCGGATCTGGAGCCTGTATGGATTTCTGCGATATCGTGCAAGATCCGGCGCTCTGGCTGACCCCGTTCGGGCGTTGGCAGACCTGGGTTTAGTGATCCCATTCCATTAACCGGAATCGCCGCCACCCGAAATTGTAGCCAGAGTGCAGTATCCCCAAACAGGGTTTTTAAACCCACTGCGGTTTGCAAAGTCGATTGCGTGCCCGTCCAGTGCGGGCTGGCATGGCATGTTAGAACATGATAACATGATGTTTGTTCATGAGATGCTTGCACGAAAACTTGTGTGACGCATGCCTATCAGGAAGCTAACGCTAGAGGGTGTCGTACTCTCTCGCACCCGGTCGACGAGTAAGCTGTCGGGTCGGCACTGTGAGAGGCTCCACCGCCATGCTGTGAACTCGGAAGCAACTGTAAGAGGAAGCGGGGGACGGCGCGGAAGCGGGGGGGCATGTCGTGATCGTTCCCCCGGGAATGATATCGAGAGGTACGCGGCGCACGTCTCAAAAGAAAAATCGTGACGTCGGATGTCTGGGGAGGGCGGAAGGCAAGGCACGCATGACGGATGCTGAGGCGGCAGAAACGACGACGGCGGGGACGGGGAGGCGGAGGCAGAGGCGCAGCAGCGGGAGGCGGGAGGAGGGAGGAAGAAAGAGGAACCAGGCGGGAAACGGGAAGAGGGAGGCGGGAGAAGGAATGAGAAAGGTTGTGATTGGAGCCCCTGTGCTACGAAACGTCTCAGGCAGAACGGGCCAGACCATCTCGCGCGCAACACCTTCGAGCTTCGAATTGTGAGGATGGCTCAAGCGAAACGGGCCGGACAACCTCGCGAGCGACATCTTGGAGCTCAGTATCGGAAGGATGTCTCAAACGAAAGGGGCCGGACAACCTCTCGCACACGTTTTGACAAGTCCACGTCACACTCGCTTCCCGTTAGGTCCTCTCTCCTGCAACTCCCTTCCTTCTTCCTCCTCCTCCTCTTCATCCTCCCCCTCCTCCTGCCTGCTCCCTCATCCACATCATCCTCCTCCTCCTCCCTTCCATCTCCTTCTCATTTTCCTCCTCCTCCTCCTCCTCCTCCTCCACCTCCTCTTCATCCCGAACGGCATCTCGGAGCCCAGAGTTGCGAGGATGTCTCTAGCGTAACGGGCTGGACCACCTCGCGCGCGGCATCTCGGACCCCAGAGTTGCGACGATGTCTCGGGCGAACGTGCTGCGCGAAGTCTCAGGTGAAACGGGCCGGACCATCTCGAGCGCGGCGTCTCAGAGCTCCGAGTTGCGGGGGCCTCCTGGGGCCTCCTGGGGACCTCCTGGGGCTTCCTCCTGGGCCTCCTGTGGCCTCCTGGACTCCACCTGGAGCTTCCTGAAGCCTCTTGGAGCTCCCAGGGGGGGATATCTAACATGTGGCGGTTTGGGCTCCTCAAAATGGCGGGGGGGCCACAAGAGCAGGAAAAATCAACGAATCGACACCGGATGTGTATCAACTTGACACGTTCTGATAGGGGGGTCCTCCTGGGGCCTCCTGGGAGCCTCCTGGGAATCTCCTGGGGACCCTGGGGCTTGTTCTGGGCGCCCTGCGGCCTCCTGGAGCTCTCTGGCGCCTCCTGGGGCTCCCAGGGAGGATATGTAACATGTGGTCTTCTGGGCCCCCAGGCTGGACCACCTCTTGCGCGGCATCTGGGAGCTCAGAGCTGCGAGAATGTCTTGTTCGAAACAAGACGGACCACCTTGCGCACGACATCTCAGAGCTCAGAGTTGCGAGGATGTCTCAGGCGAGACGGGCTGGACCACCTCGCGCAGGGCATCTCAAAGCTCAGAGTTGCGAGGATGTCTCAAGCGAAACGGGCTGGACCACGTCGCGCGCGGCACCTCCGAGGTCAGAGTTGCGAGGATGTCTCAGGCGAAATGGGCTGGACCACCTCTTGCGCGGCAGCTCAGAGCTCAGAGTTTCGAGGATGTCTCAGGCGAAACGGGCCAGACCACCTCGTGCGCGGCATCTCAGAGCTCAGAGTTTGGAGGACGTCTCAAACGAAACGGGCCGGACCACCTCTCGCGCGGCATCTCGGAATGCAAGAGTGCGAAGATGTCTCAAGCCAAACAGGCCGGACCACCTCTTGGGCGGCAGCTCGGGGCTCAGAGTTTGGAAGATGTCTCAAGCGAAACGGGCCGGACCACCTCTCGCGCGGCATCAGAGAGCGCAGAGTTGCGAGGATGTCTTAGGCAAAACGGGCAGGACCACCTCGCGCACGGCATATCGAGGCTCAGAATTTGGAGGATGTCTCAAGCGAAACGGGCCGGACCACCTCTTGCGCGGCATCTCGGAGCCCAGAGTTTCGAGGATGTCTCAAGCGAAATGGGCTGGACCACCTCTTGCGCGGCATCTCAGAGCTCAGATTTGCGAGAGTGTCTCAGGCGAAACGCGCCAGACCACTTCGCGCACGGCATCTCAGAGCTCAGAGTTTCGAGGATGTCTCAGGCGATACGGGCCAGACCACCTCTCGCGCGGCATCTGGGAGCTCAGAATTTGGAGGATGTCTCAGGCGAAACGGGCCGGACCACCTCTCGCGCGGCATCTGGGAGCTCAGAGTTATGAGGATGCCTCAGGCGAAACGGGCCGGACCACCTCTCGCGCGGCATCTGGGAACTCAGAGCTTGGAGGATGTCTGAAGCGAAACGCCCAATCCCGGACAACTCAGAAACGAGTTGCGAGGATGTCTCAGGCGGAACGGCCCGGACCACCAAATTTTGCCGAGGACGTCGCTGCTTTGATTTCCCCCGGCTGGAGTTAGCTTCTATCACAGCAGCACCACGCTCAGCAAGCTCTCTGGGGAAAAACACCAGCTACGGCAAACCTGGTTTAGAGATTCCAATCCATATTTTGGGCTTCGGGGCCCAATCGCTAACCGGCCCCCCTTAAACCGGGGTCCTGGCTACAGTCGTTGCGTTGACCTGAGGAACCCTAAATAAGGAACGAGGCCCCTTTCTTCCACAAGATCTGCTTCCATCTCCCATGGAAAGCCTCCGGAAAACCTGTGGCAAGCTGTAGAACGATCGAGAACACCGAGCCCCTCCCCAACGAGAAGGGCTCCTTCTTCCGCGCCCCGACGGTATACCCGACCCGTCTGCAGTGTTGGAGGCCTGGAAATTGGCACCAACACCAGCACAGGGGGCTGCCTCCACATGGGGAAGATGATCCTAGATTTCGGTGTTGGTGGTAATATTTCGGTCACCTTGGAAGCCAGAATATTACCACCATCGCCGAGATCGGGATCTTCTTCCCTCGGTGGAGGCAAACCGCCGAAATTGGTGTTGGTGTCAATCTCTAGGCCTGCGACAGTGACCCCCGCCTCGTCCACCTCGACCCCGGAGGGCCCGCGAGCGGCGCGCGGCACGCCTGCTGGCCCATCTGCTTGGAGAGGCCGCCGAGCCAGCCCTCGTGGTCGAGCGACTCCGCCGACCCGTCGCCGGTGCCCTCGCTCAGCTCCCGGAGCGCCTCGTTCACCTGAGCTCTTAAACCACAAAGTGTTCTAAGAACAAAAGCAATGTTCTTGGAACATGAGCCCGATGTGCTAAACCAAGACCGTCCCGACCAGATATGTTCTAAGAACACTTCGTGGAAACCGCAAAAGGTTCTTAGACCATTTCGGGAGCGGCCAAGAGGGGGGTGTCCAAGAGGGGGGGGTGCAAATCCGCCGACCCCTTGGGGATCATCGGCGTGTGAGATGCTTCCCCCTCCCCAAACCCCTCCCCCGGGAGCCCGGTCCGGTCGATTTGGAGGGGGGGGGGGGTCCGGGACGAGCGCTCCACGGGGCTTTTCCTGGCCCAAGAGGGCTTCAAGACGGGCCACGAAGCCCCCAAGAGGCCTCCAAGACGGCCCACGAAGGCTCCGAGAAGCCAAACGACCGCTCCAAGACGCCCACGATGGCCCCAAGACGGGCCAAGAGGTCTCCAAGACGGCCCCTGAGGTCCCAAATGAGCCTCCCAAGAGGGCCCAAAGAGTCAAAAATTGCTGATTTTCCAGAGTGTTTTTCGATGTTTTTTGCTTTTCCGCCTTTCCGGCTTCCCGACGCTCCAAGACGGGCAAAGAGGCCCCAAAGATAGCCCCAAGATGGCCCAAGAGGCCCCCAAGACGGCCTCCAGACGGCCCAAGACGGCCCCAAGACGGCCCAAGAGGTCCCCAAGACGGCCCAAGAGGGCCGATTTGGAGGGGGGGAGGGGGCCGGGACGAGCGCAGCACGGCCGGGACGAGCGGTTCCAGGGCTTTTCCGGGCCCAAGAGGGCCTCAAGACGGGCCAAGAAGGCTCCAAGAGGCCTCCAAGACGGCCCACGAAGGCTCCGAGACGCCAAACGACCCCTCCAAGACGCCCAAGATGGCCCCAAGACGGGCCAAGAGGTCTCCAAGGCGGCCCCCGACGTCCCATACAAGTCTCCCAAGAAGGCCCCAAGAGTCTAAAATTGTTGATTTTCCATAGTGTTCTTCGACGTTTTTTGCTTTTCCGCCTTTCCGGCTTCCCAACGCTCCAAGACGCGCGACGAGGCCCCAAAGATAGCCCCAAGATGGCCCAAGAGGCCCCCAAGACGGCCTCCAGACGGCCCAGGACGGCCCCAAGACGGCCCAAGAGGTCCTCAAGACGGCCCAAGAGGGCCGATTTGGAGGCGGGGAGGGGGCCGGGACGAGCGCACCACGGCCGGGACGAGCGGTTCACGGAGCTTTTCCGGGCCCAAGAGGGCCTCAAGATGGGCCAAGAAGCCCCCAAGAGGCCTCCAAGACGGCCCACGAAGGCCCCGAGACGCCAAACGACCGTTCCAAGACGCCCAAGATGGCCCCAAGACGGGCCAAGAGGTCTCCAAGACGGCCCCCGAGGTCCCAAACAAGCCTCCCAAGAGGGCCCCAAGAGTCTAAAATTGTTGATTTTCCATAGTGTTTTTCGATGTGTTTTGCTTTTCCGCCTTTTCGGCTTCCCGACGCTCCAAGACGCGCGGAAGAGGCCCCAAAGACAGCCCCAAGATGGCCCAAGAGGCCCCCAAGACGGCCTCCAGACGGCCCAGGACGGCCCAAAGACGGCCCAAGAGGTCCCCAAGACGGCCCAAGAGGGCTCCAAGACGGCACCACGAGGGGCCCAAGAGGGCGACCAAACATGTTGAAACTCTAGCTTTCTGCCCCCAGGAGCCCCAGGGGGCCCCAAGAGTGCCCCAAGAGGCCCCCAGAGGCCCTCACGAGGCCGCCCAGACGCCCCAAGGAACCCCCAAGAAGCACCCCAGAGGCTCCGAAACGGCCCCCGAGTGGCTCCAAAACTCGCAGTGTCGCTGTCCGCTCGGACCTCCCCGCGGAACTGCCCGAGACCCTCTGGCGGTGGCGGCGAACAGACACCAAACAAATATCACTCGCCTTTTCACCCCTTCGCAGCTTCTACTACCCCCAGATTGGCATAAACAAGGGGTCGGCGGTGTGGCGTAAGCCTAAGAATCATGGCCGGCGGCATGTGCGCGGCCCAGCGGGGGGGCCAGGGGCGTGAGGAAATAAGAAGGGGCGCCATGAAATCTGGGGAAATATCATGGCCCCCGCCATGATATCCCCCCCCCCTAGTCATCACCTCCCTCTTTTCCGCCCCCGATGAGCAACGATCAGAAGCGGGTCTTAGAGTCGGCCTTGACTGGAGAGGGCACGCGAGGGGACACACAGGGCTCTTCCGAGGGCCACATCGCCATGGGAGTGTAAGAAGGCAGGTGTCGCGAGGCACAGGACACAAGGGTACCCTTGAGCTGGCAGGGCCGACCCACTAATCCGGACCGACTGTATGCGAGGTGGCGTCGCGACCTTACGCCGCGGCTTACGCGCGGGCCACCAGCGCGGCACGCCACCCTGGAAACAGGGACGCTTCGGCGCGACCTTACGCGGGCCGCTTACGCGCCAATGTCGGGGAAGACGACCCCGTTTCTTTTTGCGTCGCGGCCGCGGCAATCAATAGAGAAACGGCATCAGCATGAACTATTCCTGGCGCGCGGAGCGCGCCGGGGCGGCGCCAGAGGCGCCGCCAGCAGCGCCGACCCAGGAAATCGGCACATCGCTGCTGAAAGGTCCTGCCGATGCTAAGCTCGAGCGTCTTCTGGCATCTTGAAACGAGAGGGGCTCCTCCCCGCCCTCCCCCCTCCCAGCCCCTTCCTCATCGCGGGCAGTACCAAAAAATCATGGCTAAAGCAGCGCTGGCACATCCCCGGCACATTTCGGGTGGCAACTGAGGATACGGGCTCCTCGGGTTAATAGGGTCGGTCTCCTCGGGTTAATAGGGTCGGTTTTCAGATTCTCAAGCTGTCATGATCCTGAAGCTCTCGGGTAAGGGGCGTGAAGTCTTTCACGCGCCGCGGCCTGAAATGATCGGAGGATGCAATTGCCCGCGATATGGGGGCCTCGTACGGGACTTTTCGGAGCCTCTTAGGGACCTCGTGGGAGCCTGTGGGGGGCGTCTGGAAGTTTCTTGGGGCGTCTTGAAAAGTTGTTGGGGGCGTGTTTGGCCTCTGGGGGGACGCCTGGGGGCAATCTGGAGGCCAGAGGAGCCCAACGGAAGCGAGAAGGCGGCAAGGCAAGTATCTCTGATTTCCCTTGGGTTTGGGGGAAATCTGTGGTTTCTCGGGCGTTTCCTGGAGGACCTCTTCCGGGGTCCATGTGGTGCATGCTTTCACCCCAGATCCTTTTTGTTGTCAGTCCCAAAGCCCGAAAACGGCCCCCGGAGGCCGAACAAGGCAGAAAACCTTGTCGCACCCACCGCCTCGAACCTGGCCCCCTTCCTGCTGGCCAGCACCACTGCTGGCCACCTCAGGCCCGCAGCCGGGTCCAACCCTGGAGGATCCCAAAACCTCTGGGCGACTCTCCTCCACCTCTTTGGACGCCCGAAATGGGTACTGTACGGAAAAAATGGGCACAATGCCCCACGACAAACGTTGTCCCAAACCGACAACGGCCGCTGTTGGGCAGGCGGCTCTTTCTCCAGAGAACAACATCCGTGGCGGCGCGGACAGCGAGTCCTGTTCCAAATGAACAGGAAGTGCTGTTGGGCATAGTGCACATTCTTTCCTTACAGCAGGGGCTCGACCACAAGAAACCTTCCACAAGAAACCCAACCCTGAGACCCCAGGACGTCTCTCGACTTTTGGCGTGGGAGCGCCACGCTTTCCACAGCAAAACCATCGAAACCCAAGCAACCCAGGGCACCCTTGGAGGCAAGCAGGGTGCTTCTTGGCATGGGCCTCCACTGTACTCGTGCCGATCGCCCCCCACCCACTTCGGGCACCTGGTGGTGGCCTCCCGAGGCCCCGCCGGGACACGACAAGGGACCTTTAGAGATGCACTCGCAGAAACTTCCTGGGGAGCCCTCCGGGGCCCTCCTCGGTGTGGGGGGGAAACCACAAGGTACCGATGACAGCTACAGTCGGCCGGTATCCGCGATAAGGATGTAGGGGCCTTGGAAAGCCACTTCGAAGCTCGCCGAGCGGGGCGCGGCCAACGAGAGTGGTCAAGGATGGTCCGAGGAGGCCAGGATGCAAGGGTCCTTTTGGGAAGGCTGCCCATCCTTCCTATGCGGACTGACTGTGCTCCCCGGACCTCTCCCGGGGTGCGAGCAGACCAGAATTCCGAGGCGAATCCAGGGGCGGCGACGAGGACCTCCCAAGCGGCCCCGAAAGGATCAGACAGGGGAAAACGGGCAAAGGGCATAGGCATGGGTACCTTTCCTCCGAGGTGGGGGGTGGGGAAGGTGACGTGCACGTGCGCACACGCTGGAACAAGGCCTCGCCAGAGACCTCCAGGGACCCCCGCAGACCTCCAGGGATCTCTGCAGGCCAGTCGGGGATCTCCGGAGACCTCTGGGGGCCGTCAAGGACTCCCGTGGAGGGGGCACGTGCACGTTCGCACGCGTAGGACGGCGTTTCGTGCCAGCTGGTGGGAGGTGCCGCTCGCAGGTGGCCTTGTCGATGACGAGCTTCTCCGCCAGGGCCATCTTCATCGACTCCTTCGTCTGGCTCGCACCCTTGGCGCGGACGTAAATACGCACGTACGCGCGAATACGCATTGCTCGTCGTCGCCCTCTCTTCCCCATCCTCATCTCGTGCTTCTCCTCTTCGCGAACAAGCGCAATGAGACGTACACTGGCTTTACTCTTGCATCTGTGCATGAGTGTGCAAGTTCTCGCGGACATGGAGATATGCGTGAGCAGATACACACATGGGAACATGTCGGCGGCGAGTCCAGGGAGGATGTCAGAGGGGGCGGGCCTTCTCAAAAGGCTCAGATGGCCTCCGAGCTTCTGAGAAAGCGTCTAAGCGTTCTCCGAAGAAAGAGACGGCTTCTCAGAAGGCCGCAGAGCTTCTGAGAAGCCCCGGCGCCTTCTGAGAAGGCCTGCATCCTCTCAAGTCCCCCCTTGGCTCGCCGACGAACATGTGCAAGACTGGTGCGTCAAAGTGGCCCAATGCCAGGACCTCATACGGATTGATCTTCTCGAGCCGCAATCTCCAGAGATCTCTACCCCTTCTCTGGACACAATGCTGCTTCGTCCTGGATGCATTTTTGGGGCGTCCAAAAAAAGGGCGTCCAAGAGGGAGGTTCGCAAATGAAAGGAGAAGCGGGGCCATGAAATCAGCGGAGATAACATAGCCCTGGCAATGATATCCCCCCCAGTCATCACCCCCCTCTTGTACGCCCTCGACGGATTTTCTGACGGCCAAGGACCCGAAAACGGACCCCTGAACCCGAAACACGGGAAGAACGCGGGGAGAAACAAATCCGATCCGCCTGACTTCCATTCCACCGCAGAAACGCCACAGGCAGCTGGCCTCGAGGAAACAGTCGGCGAGAATCCCTGGACATAAAAAAGGCGTGACCAAAGGCCACCGCCGCCGATGACGATGACGATGACGATGACGATGACGATGACGATGACGATGATGATGATGATGATGATGATGATGATGATGATGATGATGATGATGATGATGTGACGACGACGATGATGATGCTGATGATGATAATAATAATAATAATGATAATAATAATGATGATGATGATGGCGATGATGAGGCTGAGGCTGAGGCTGATAATGATGATGATGATGATGATGATGATGATGATGATGATGATGATGATGATGAGGCTGATGATGATGAGGCTGATGATGCTGATGATGCTGATGATGATGCTGATGCTGATGATGATGCTGATGATGGTGGTGATGGTGATGATGGAGATTATGATGATGCCCCGAGAACTTCGAAGCCCCGAGAAAGAAGTCCCAAGAGACTTCGAAACCCCGGGAAACGCCGAGAAACATCGAATGCGTCCAGGCACTGCGAGGCCCCGAGGGAGAAGCCGTGCGATCCGCTGGAGGTCCGGGTTCCTGGAGGCGTGCGTACAGGCCCCCACGCAGGCATCCTGGGCGACAGCACGGTCTCCCAGAAAGTGACTCCAAAGCGTCCTCCAAATCCTCGATCCTCGACGTCCTCGACGTCGTCGATCCTCGTCGTCGCCCCAAAACAACCATCTCCCCTCGACGATCCTCGACGTCGTCGATCCTCGACGTCGTCGATCCTCGTTGTCGCCCCAAGACAACCATCTCCCCAGCAGGGAATCTCGACGTCCTCGAGCCTCGGTCCTCCCCGCTCGACGAGCCCGGCCCCGGATCCCCCCCCCCCCGAGAGGCTCCTGCTGGCCAGATGCTATGGCGGCAGCCAACCGTGGCCACGAGTGCTCTCCGGGAGGCAGCAGCAGCTACACTTACGGTAGAGGGAAACAATTACTGAACACTCCCCTTCCCCCCAAACTCAATGTTGGCACGCGCGGGGGGGACTGCGGTCGAAGTGCATCTCATCAGACCCACCGCCAACTTTGAACATTGGGGGGAGGGGGGAGGCGTTGACTGATGAATTTGGCATAAGTGTTCGCTAATTTGTTCCGAGGCCTGTATGTGGGGCGTGTCACCCTACAGGGGGATTTTCGACGACAAATAGAAAATACACCAAAAATACCCCCAAAAGGTAAATAAAACAAATACTAGAAACATAGTCCCAAGACTATTCTTGGACTATTTCATGACTATTTTGAGGTTTAAAAAAAATCGTCGAAAATCCCCCTGTAGGGGGACAGGCCCAACTTAAAACCATACAGTTGCTGTTGCCTCCCGGAGAGCCCTCGAAAGGGATGAAATATATGGTGCTCTATATAGTGGCGCGAGGGGTGAGCCGGAATTTGTCGGGCGGACGCTTGCAAAGAGGCACTCTGAGCTCCCCCTGTGGCCGCGAAACGTGTGAGGGGGGTGCCAAAATGGGTCGGCCGGGCGCATGAAAGCTGCGCCACAGAGACACTCAATGGAGCTCCCCATGCGGCCACGAAACGTGTGAGGATTGCCGACATTTGTCCGGGGGGCGCATGCGAGCTGCGCCATGAAGGCACTCGGTGGAGCTCCCTATGGAGCCACGAATCGTGTGAGGGGTGTGCCGAAACGCGCCGGAAGGACGCATGCGAGCTGCACCACGGAGACCCTCGGTGGAGCTCCCCATGGGGATGAGGTCACGACACGCGTGCCGGGTGTGCCAAAATGAGTCGGGCGGGCGCATTCGAGCTGCGCCACGGAGGCACTCGGTGGAGCTCCCCATTAAGGAGCCCAACTCCACACACTGACACTTTTTCTGGCCCCACACTGAAATTCGCACAGGAAAGCGGATCCTGGTGAAAACGGGATCCTGATGTATGCATTTTGCGTTGCCTCCCTGGGAAATCCGGGAAAAACATATACACCACACCACCCCGACGTCGTCCCCGACCCTCACAAAGTCCTAGGATTCAAAAACAGCCCGCCACTGGTAATGTATATGCTCCAATTTCCGATCTATGGGGCCACGAAACGCGTGAGGGGGGTGCCGTCTGTTTTTTTGTCGGGCGGGCGCATGAGAGCTGCGCAAAGGAGGCGCTCGATGAAGCTTCCCACGGGGCCACGAAGCGTGTGATGGGTGCGACGACATGGACATGCAGAGGGCAGATGCAAGGTTGGGAGGAGGGAGGAGGGGGAAGGGGCGAGGAGGGAGAGGAGGGGGAGGAGGAGGAGTAGGAGGCGAGGAGAGGAATGACGCGGGGCGCTGTCTCTTCAAAACTCGGACCCAACACCGCAGGATGGCTCGGAAAAACCCGCAAGCGTCGAAAGCCTGGAGGCCGAAACTCCTCGAGGCCCAACCTCCTCGAGGTCAATCCTCAAGAGAGAGGGACAGGCATGTAGCGCGCCTCGGAGTCCTCCAGCTCGCTCTGGATGCGCGTCGCGGTGAGGACTATCTGGAAGAGGGCGGGCGGGGTCGGAGGAGCAGGGGGGGGAGGAAGCAGAAGGGGAACGAGGGTGAGGAGGGGGGAGGAGGAAGACAAGTAGAAGGAGGGCAGAGGAGGAAGACAAGTAGGAGGAGGATGATGATGATGATGAGGAGGAGCAGGAGGAAGAGGAGGAGGAGAGTAAACTCAAAATGCATCAGCAATGCTGCAATACACCCTCCCGTCCCAAATCCCCTCCTCACACATCCCTGCAAACCTTCCTTTCGCACTACCAGAAACGCCCCCTTTCAAAGACCAGCGTCCTATAGAAATGCGGCACGGTGTGACGGTATGATCGTACAGCTCAACGAGGCTTGCAAAGAGACCGCCAATTTGAAGAGAAGACCGTCAACCATCCGTGCAGTCAACCCGCATAATAAGGACGCACGATGAAGATGCAGGGGCCTTGGAGGGCCATGCCGAAACTTTGCGAGCGGGGCGCGGCCAGCGAAAGCGGCCAAGGATGGGCCAAAGGGGGAGGATGCAAGGGTAACCTTGGAAAGTTACTCATCCTTACTATGCGGGTTGGCTGCAACTGTTACAGAAGTTTACGAGTATGGCCACGATCCTCGAGGAAGTCTCGAGCGAGAGCCCCATCGCGACAAGGAACCACCCTCCCTCCGCGCAGGCTGCCGGATTTGTTGGGGATTCCGGTCTCTAAACGTAAGGGGGTCTCAAGAGAGAACCCCATCTTGTCAACGAACACCCCTCCACTTCAGCAAGATTGTTCTTCCAGCCTTCGCAGGCAGATGACATTGGGCTCACACACTAATCGGTCCAATCGCTACCTCACCGTGCCCGTGAGGTGGACCCCGAGGTCCTGCCTTGTCTGGACGACGCTAAGGTTGAAACACACGTGCGCGGAGGAGTGCGTGGCGCTAAGGCGGCCAGAGCCCCATTTCGAGAAGGAACCGCTCTCCATCCGCGCAGCGAGCTGTCGACGGAATGCGCGCGGCGCGAAAGCGATAGCCCCATTTCGAATACGGCCTGTGCCCCATCCTTCGAGCTGTTGCAAGCCTGCGACACGAAGATGCGCGGCGGTGAGGCGAGCGCACCATTTTGAGAACGGCACGTGCCCAGTCATGGTAGCAGTGTTACGAACACGTGAAAGACGAATGTGCACGGCGCTAACGCGAGAGCTCCATTAAGGACACAGCAGCAACACATGAAGGACAAAACGAAACAGGTAACGACAGCACAACATATCAAATCGAATAACAGAACACAGCGAAGGAAGACGAATGGCATGGAATCACGAATGTTGCGAGTGCCAAGCTCCACGATCATAGATGGTGAAGACGTCTCAGGCAATACGTCCGGCTGGTCCTCCAAGCAAGTCTGAGGGTGCGACAGGGAGGAGTTGTCTATAAGGAAAAGGGATGGAGGAGCAGGTCTGAGAGGAGGAGGAGACGGAGGAGCAAGAAGAGGATGAGGAGGGAGGAGAAGGGGGGGGGAAGGGGGAGGAAGAGGTGGAAGAGCGTCGCCGAAGAGTGGACCCTTATCCTGCAACGCTACACCTGTGTATAACCAAGCCTCCATGAGGGAGGTCCACGGCCTGCCTGAAGGAAGGAGAGGAACATGCTAGAGCATGAGGGGGAGAAGAAGCAGGCGCAGCAGCAGGAGGAAGAAGACGAGGAGGGAGAACAAGAAAGCACAGGGGCAGCGGAAAGAGGGATGACTAGGTAGGATGAGGAAGGAGAAAAGACGCGGAGGGGAGGGGAGGAGGGGGAGAGAGAAAGAAAGCAGAAGGGGGGCGAGGATGATGGGGGTTGCGGGGGGATAGGGAATGAGGAGGAGGAGGAGGAGGAGAACAGCGTCTGGCAGACATCATTGCCACTAGCTCTAAGGAGGAGAAGGAAGAGGAGGAAGGCAGGCTGCGTCTCATCGAGACCCTAGAGCCTTCAGCAACAGCTGCAAAAGGAAAAAGGATGATGATGATGCTGATGATGATGATGAGGAGGAGGAGGAGGAGGAGGAGGAGGAGGAGGGGTAGGAAGACAACAAGGTTGGCGAGCACGAGGACGAGCAGTTGCAGCAGCAGCAGCAGGATGACGACGAGGGGAGGTGGGAGGTGGCAGCAGGAGGAGGGAGGAGCAGGGTCACCTCCTCTCTCTCATCCCTCCCCCCTCCTTCCCTTCACTCCTCGCCCTTCGAGGATCGACCTCCGATCCTCGAGGATCGAGGAGGGAATCCTGCCCAGCGCTCGCGATCGGCAGAGGAGGAAGACAAGTAGGAGGAGGAGGAGGAGGAGGAGGAGGAGGAGGAGGAGGAGGAGGAGGAGGAGAAGGAGGAAAGGGAGGAGGAAGAGGAGGAGGAGAGCAAGAGCTTGGGGCTTCGGGGCCCGTTCTGGGCCTCCCAGGGCGGGCGCCCCGGCACGCTGAGGCGTGGCAGGATGCCGAGGGCTGCTCGGCAGATCCTCTCCACACAGTCCACCCTTACAAGCAGGAGGAGGGCAGAGGAGGAAGACAAGTAGGAGGATGATGATGATGATGAGGAGGAGGAGGAGGAGCAGGAGGAAGAGGAGGAGAGTAAATTCAAAATGCATCAGCAATGCTGCAATACACCCTCCCGTCCCAAATCCCCTTCTCACACGTCCCTGCAAGCCTTCCTTTCGCACTACCAGAAACGCCCCCTTTCAAAGACCAGCGTCCTATAGAAATGCGGCACGGTGTGACGGTATGATCGTACAGCTCAACGAGGCTTGCAAAGAGACCGCCAATTTGAAGAGAAGACCGTCAACCATCCGTGCAGTCAACCCGCATAATAAGGACGCACGATGAGGATGCAGGGGCCTTGGAGGGCCATGCCGAAACTTTGCGAGCGGGGCGCGGCCAGCGAAAGCGGCCAAGGCTGGGCCAAAGGGGAAGGTTGCGTTGCGTCACGTTAGGGTCCGATCGAATAGAGTTCGGCCGCCATGCGGGACACGGACTGGAGCTGGAAAAATGTGCGTTCCGGCATCGTTGCATGAGGGGAGGGAAGCGGAGGAGGCGGAGGAAGAGAAGGAGAACGAGGGGAAAGATGCTCAGGTAACCTTGGAGAGTTGCTCATCCTTACCGTGCGGGCTGACTTTGATATGAAAATGGGCCACGCAGCCCCCCGCCTCCGACCCGACCAAGAAATAGCAGAACCCCTGCGCCCCCTAAAGCTCCCGTGACGTTTTTGCAGACAGAGCCTGTGGGCCCAGAATCGAATCGACAAGTCGAATCGGCGATCGAAATGAATCGGATCGGCGGAAGTCGGCAGCCGAGTCGGGAGGAGTCGTATCGGCGGACATCGGCAGGTGCCTCACCGAAAAATCGGAATCCGAACCAGAATCCGAAGTCGAATCGAATCGGACGCCATCGAAATCGAATCGAATCCGATTGGAGGAATCGAAATGAGCCCTGCAGAGGAAGTGTTCCCGAGGACCCCCCCGAAAAACTTCACCCCCCCTTTCGAATTCCTTCCCTTTCCATTCCCCTTCCCCTCAAGATCTGAACGGCTGCTTCCCCTTCCCCTTTCCCTCCCCCTTCCTCTTCCCCCTCCTGCTCCCGCTCCCGCTCCCGCCTGCCCGCGAAGCAGTCCATGCACGACGATCGCAGAATCGCCCAGGTGCAGGAGGCACGGGCCAAGATTTCCCCCCCCCCCCGAGTTCTGGCACGGCCTTCGAACCGATCGGGAGCAGCGCAGCGTAGCGCAGCCCCCTTGCGAATCGTTTTGTTAGAGGGTCCCGGAGCGCTCGGGCGGGCGGCTGGCGGGCTCGTGGGCGGCGGGCGCCGACTCCTCGGAGGGCTGTGTTGCGCTCTTGGTATTCAGCTTCCTCCTCCTCCTCCTCCTCCTCCTCCCTGCTGCGCTACTGCGCTACTGCGCTGCTGCGCTGCTGCAGTGCTGCGCTGCTGCGCTGCTGCGCTGCTGCACTTGCACCCTGGCGGGGCTTGCCGCTGGCAGCTGGTTAGCAAGGAAGGAAGAGGACGAGGAAGATGAGGAGGGAAGCGGAGGATGATGGAGGATGGAGGGGTACGCAGGGGAGAGGGAGAAGAGGAGAGGGGGGCGGGGATGGGGACGTGGAGGGGTGGGATCATCGCCCATCATCTGCCCCTCCTCCGCCTGATGTTTCTCCCCCTGACGTACCGCCTGGCTATTCTCAATCTTGATGCCCCTGCCCATCCTCCATCTCGGGGGCAGGCGAATGGGGCGAGGCAGCCAACGAGCCAGCCAAGAGAAGGGAGCCGCCTTGAGCTGCTGCTCGGTCAGCTCTGGGATGTGCTGCATGATCTGAGGAGACAGCGGGCTGCCGCGCCCCCGGCAAAAAACGAGGAGGGAGAGATAGAGGCGGCGCAGCGGGGCAGGATAGGGGGGGTCTCCTTAGACGGCAGGGGCCTTCTTAGAGGGGCCCAAGGAAGCTGCCCAACAGGTTTCTTAGAAACCTGGAGGGCTTCAGCGGAATGGCGCATAGACTTTCGAAGACCCGCGCGGACTTCTTGGATCTGCGCTGGACCCCCCTCCCTCGCGCGCCGCCCCACGGGGGTGCCCACCGCCGATCCGAGGAATCTAGGCGAAGCTCCGAAAGTCTGTGTTATACGGTTTTTGTGACCTCGACCTCCTCCTCCTCCTCCTCCTCCTTCTCCTCCTCCGCCTCCTCCTTCTCCTCCTCCTGCTCCTCTCGCCCTCCTGATCTTCCTCTTCCTCTTCCTCTTCCTCCTCCTCCTCCTCCTCCTCACCCCCTCAGTTTTGTACTATTCGAAAAGATAGAAAGCCCCCCCCCTCGCGTCGCCTCCCTTGCGCGCCGCCAAGTGGGCGAGCGGACGCTGCGCGGCGGGAGGACGGAGACCGGCTGCAGGCCAGAGTGCCCTAGGCGGGCGGTAAGAATGGCTTTTGCTGCGCGGCCTCGAGCGCGTAGTTCAACGATTCGCGATAACAGCCGTCATCGGGGATGCCCCCCCCCCTCTCCCCCCGACCTGGCAAGGTCACGGTTTTCGCTAGCGCCGTTTAGGAATGGCTAGGGGTAGGCAATTCCCAGACGGCACCAGCGCGAATCGTGACGTTACTGGCCTCCCCCACCCATCCACGCCAGGTAACGCTTGTTATCGCCCGAAAGCAAAAAACTAAACAAAGCAAACTCTCTTCACGGAGGGGGGGCAATGATATAGGGGGGACCAGCTCAGAGGGGCAAGCATCAACCTGGAATCGGCAATACATCGCCCAGAAAAGGGCGCTAGGCCCCCGATGGCGAATCTGGGTTCCTGGGCGGGGTGGTCTCTCGGGCCCGTGGGCGATCAGTGAACGACTGGGGGACACCGCGTCCTTCCCCAAGCCGATCCCTAAGCCGACGGGGGGTCCCATCGGGGAACAAATAATGGCGCAACACACAAATTGTCGGAGGTCCGCGCGGAGTTCCGGAAGTGTATGTTCACGCAGCTGATCCTCCTCGAGGCAGGTACAATTGACCTACCTTTGATAACAGTAGGGGCCCGACCACAAGAAACCTTCCACAAGAAACCCAACCCTGAGACCTCAGGACGTCCATCGATTTTTGGTATGGGAACGTCACGTTCTCCATGGCAAAACCATCGAAACCCAAGAAACCCAGGGCACCCTGGAGGTAAGCGGGGTGTGTCTTGGCATGGGCCCCCACTGTACGCGGCCTCAGGCAAGGGGGGAGCGGGCGGGCCAAAACAAAGCGCACAAACCGCTGCCGTCGCATCGCGTTCGGCGGTCGAGCGACCCAAATGGGCCCGCACCAAGGGTCTTTCCAGCGAAAGGTCACCGTTACGCGTAGCCGAGGGGAGGGGGAGGACGGGGTGGCCAGGGAATCGAGAGGGGAAAGGAGATTATGAGGAACGTGTTCAATACAAACGCGGATGATAGTGAAACATATGCACCCTTCTGAAACTTGCCCACGACTGCTGCGCGATCTACTGGTGCATCGGATTCCTGAGGGTTCTCGCAGGCTTCCTGGAGACCCTGCAGTATCCTGAGGTTCCTCTGAGGAGCCTCCTGAAAGCCTTGGTGGAGCCTATGAGGATCCTCCTAGCAGCTTCTTGAGAGACTCTTCGGAGCTTTTTGAAAGCTTTGGGGCCTCAGGGTTATTGAGGACATCTGAGAGTTAGCTACACCATCAGCATCGCAGCTTTGCTGGGTTCGCTCCCCAGCAGCGTGTCGGCTATTATGGGCGAAACAGTAACTGGTCCCCTTTAGGGTAATTCATTAAGTTCCATGCATGTTCAAAGGCTTCTAGGAAGCTTCGGGAATGTCCCACGAAAGGAAACAACATGTGAGATTCTCTGCTGGGGAAGAAACCATTCAGAGCTTTTCATCTTCCGCCGGGGAACGTTCCCTTCTGACGGGAAACGACTCACTCCACCGGGGAACGAACCTCTCGCAGGCCCGAGGAGTAGGCAGGAGGAGGAGGAGGCGGCGGAGGCGGCGGAGGAGCAGGAGGGAGGAGGGAGAAGAGAGGAGGGTGGGAGGAACTGGAGGAGGAGGAGGAACAGCAGCAGGAGCAAGAGGAGCAGGAGTCGAAGATCAAGGATATAGGCTCCCGGATACCTCTACTTCAAGTATTATGGTCGACTCTAGAAGACTCTGGGGACCTCCTGGGGAGCATCTGGGAACTTCCAGGGGCCTCAAACGGCATTCGGTAGCAGCGGGAGGGACCTGTTGGGGCCACTAGGACTGCCCCGTCACCACGGCTGGATTCGCCTCGAAATCATTGCCAGGACGCACTCCAGGACAAGTTCCGGATAGGGAATCGAATAGAAACTAAAAGGAAACATGCACAGAATAATATGAAGAACATAATACAAATAATGACAAGGAATCGGAGTACAAGAGGGGTCCTGCTCTTTCGTGATCCACTTGTCCAGCCCCAACAGCTTCTCCTGCAGGTTTTTGGCGGAAACCCAGTCCTGCGGGGACCAGCAGCCCGCGAGCAGACTCCCAGAACCATCCTTGTGTTCAGCCCTGGTCTCATCCTCCTCCTCCTCCTCCTCCTCCTCCTCCGCCCCCCCTCCCCATCCCCCTCCCCTCCCCTCCCCCGCCCATCCCTCGCGTATTCCTCCTCTTCCCCCCCCTCTCCTCCTCCTCCTCCTCCTCCTCCTCCTCCTCCTCGTCATCATCGTCATCATCATCATCATCATCATCATCATCATCATCATCATCATCATCATCATCGTCATCATCATCACCATCATCATCATCATCATCATAATCATCATCATCACCAACATCGTTATCATCCTCACCCTCATCATCATCATCAGCACCATCATCATCATCATCAGCACCATCATCATCATCATCAGCATCATCATCATCCCCTCATCACCATCATCATCAGCATCAACACCAACATCAGTATCAGCATCAACATCAGCAGCATCATCATCACCATCATGATCATGATCAGCATCATCAACAGCAAAAACATCAGCGACAATATCAGCATCATTAGCAACTACATCAGCATCAACATCAGCGTCAACATTAACATCATCATCAACAGCACCACCACCATCATCATCATCACCATCCTCATCCTCATCCTCATCACCATCATCACCATCACAATCATCATGATCGTCATCAGCATCATCATTAGCAGCATCAGCGTCATCATCCACGTACTAGTTTGAACAATAATAAGAATGATAATCATCAACATCAGTATCATCGCGCCAGCTGGACCCTCCGTGATGCTGTCCAAGACCCACTCCTGAACGGCAGTCGGGGCCCGAGATGACTGGCGAGCCTGGTAAACACTATCTGAATTCGGTTGAGCAGCAGCGAGATGGTTGAACGAAGCCTGCGCCGAGAGTGCTCGCTGTCGCTGCTCGAGGCCCAAGCCCGAGCTGTCGAGCTGAGAGGGCAAAAAATGCGGCAGAGGGGAAGGGTCCCCGTGCCTCCGTCTTGAGGGCCTCCACCGGGTAGCATGTCCCCGATCCGTAGCAGAAGCGTCGGGCCGAGCCCGGGGATCAGACTCGGCCCGGAAGGCCGCGGTCACCCCGGGGCCTCCTCCTCGCCCTTGCTCCCCTCCTCGCCTCTGCCGCGCCCGCGACCACGGCCTCGTCCTCGGCCTGGGCCTGTGGGGGCACGAGAGTTCTGCATGGCCCGCTGCTCCTCGTTCCACATTCGAATCTGCTTGTAGATCGCGGCCTGCTCCTTGAGACGGCCCATGACCCATTCCGCGAACCTGTTCGTGCTCGCCTGGCCCTGTTCGGTGGTCGGAGCGCGAAGCAAAATCTCCAGCCCACCGTAGTCAGGATGGCGAGGGTTCCGAGCCACTGCGGTCTCGTCCTGGCAGATCCTGCGCATGATGAGTTCGAAGCTCAGCAAGTTTGTCACATCGAGCTGGTCTGTCTGAATGGCCAACCGAACCGACTCGCACAACACATAATGAATGTGGGCCACCGCCGAGGACTCGCTGACTCCCGAATCTCCAGGGCCATCCCGAACTGAAACGAGCCACTCCTTAGCAACTCGCGGCCCAGGCATGGCCCAATCGTCGAAGCTCGTCTCGCGCATCAGAGATACAGCGTCCGAGAGCGGAAAATGACGGCGGCCTGCGGAGTCCCGATGGTCGCCCAAGGTGCGGAGGTCTCCTCCCTCCGAGCTGCGCGAAGCCTTCCACTCCTGTAGCTGGTTGCTCTGAACCTTCTCCACAAACACCTCAAGGCCGCTCACCAGCGCCACGCCCTTGGACTGGCCCAAGGTAGCCTGGTCTAACTCTGCATCGACCAGGGGCTGGGCAAACCGAGAGTGACCTACCTCCGCGATGACCCAAGCGAAATTCTCCATCTCGACGTCATGGTCGCCGTCGCCCAAAATTGCCGCCTGAACTGCGGCTTGCCTCTTCAGAGCCAGAATCTCAGCTCGAGGCACAGGATCGAAGCCGTAAACCTCGCCTCGGCGATTCGCAGGGAACATCGAATTGCGGTCCAGGACCAGGTGGCGCTGCTCCAAGAGGCTGTGACGCACGAGCTCCAGGTCGGGGGTGATCGCTATCCACGCCCCCGCTGATCTTCTTCACAAGAATACGGTGATGCCAGAACATGCCTCCATCATCATTGGGATAGTGCACGAGTACTTGGGGTTCTGGGATGTCCAACGTGTCCATTGTGCGAACCGACAGTCACTGAGGGAGCCGAGTCCGACGAGCCACCAAGCACTTCACGAACGCGGCTGAGCACCCCCCGAAGAACTCCAAAGGCCAGCACCGCGGCCCAACTCACCACAACGCCGATGAGAATGCCCACCGTCAGCCAGAAAGCCCA